ACAGGAACTGAGCACAGTCCATTTATTATGCGTGCACCGACATTTCTGGTAACACCATCTGCCATTTTTTCGGCCGTCCAAGGATCTGTTTCCATGTATAAACCTGATTGCATCATGCCGATGAGAGTTTCGTTTTGCGATGTCTGACTTCCTGAGAAAAGAGCTTGCATGTTATCTCGAGCCGCTTTCTGCATTGCTTTTTCAAGCTTTGCGAAAATTTTCTCGAATGTATGAACGACAGTGTCCGTCCTGTGGCTGGGCAGATGTTAGCGCAATTTGGCAATCTGGGACTTGCCGGGTCTTGCATACACATCCTTAGCCCAGGTGGGAGCCATTGCCAATACCGATAGATACAAACTCGTGAGCGCCTGTACGGCTGCATTGCTTACTTGAGAACTTGCCAATGCCGCTTCTCCAGCTACGGTCAACGATGCACCAACTCCTGAAGCGACTGCACATACTACCAATATGATTGCGCTTATGATCGCTTTGATGATTTCTTGCTTTCTCTGTTTTCTTTTTGCAGCGGATTCGTGCTCATCCGCAAGGGTAAAAGTTTCGACGAGACTTCTCAAGGTTGCGTGTACATAAAACATCTCATCTTGAAGCAACTCTCTGAACAAGGAATGAATATGATCGATTCTCGCAAATTGATCAAAGGCCAGCCAAGCCATTTGTTTATCATGTAGCGACAAATCCTGATCCAGGTCTTTGCAACTTGGTGCCTGGCGTAAACGTTAGTTTTTGGTGTAATGTGTGAGGACTTCAAATGTTTCTTGGAACCTTCTCTCACATGACATTGGTGGAACCCATCGCAATACAAATTGCCGGTGGGTACGTTATTCGCAAATTCATTGCGGAAAAAGATCGCTATCGAGTCGGAGTGTTGTCTTTTCTCATGTGCAGGAAGGTTCATGAAACGTCCCACGTGTATCTGGAACCATGGAGCGAATGTGTTGTTCAGACCCTTGTCCCATAACTTTTTCGATGGCGTGATCAACCCACAGTCGTTTGGAAAGTCTTCTTCTTGGTCACCAAGACCATCGGGAAATTGGTTGTTGACATGCAACCGTGGTCGCAATTTGGGAGTGTAGGTGAGTGCATAGGTAGGTGAGAATAGAGCGATCAAGAAGACCACAGAACGTTGTGCGCCAACAAACACAGCGCCAGCTTTGCCAAACAGAATCATGAATGATACTTGGGATAGACTGGGTGACGTCTTCTCCAAGGAAAAGCGAGAGGATGTTCCGGCGAGTGGAGGCAGTCGCGGTTGAGGCTCTCACGAACACTGAACTCTACTTCATTTGGAGGTAGTCGCGGCTTTACATGTGTGCGGTCCACGAGCATGGGAGGTCGCTTCCATTTATTGTCAATAAGACTTCAATGACATCTCGTTCCTGCAGAGCTCAGGCAACATGCGGGTTGGGCTGGTACTGCTTCTCGCTTCGGCTTGTCAGATACCTGCACTCCATGTCAATCTGTCACAACCGCATCGGTGAGACTACTGAAAATTCAGCGTCTGCGTTACTGAGCACAGGGTCACAGGAATGACGTAGGTTCATGTGAACTTGTATTGACGGACGATGGCACGGTCAATACACATGTGTCTAATAGCCAATGCAGTCATGTAAAGCTCAACCCTACCGATGCAGAGGCGAAGTCAATCCCAATGTACAGGATGACATGTGGAGCTCATCAAACTTCGGGAATGGGACTCACATGCTGAAGACACTGGTTCAGGCTAGTCTGACGTTGTTAGTGCCCATAATGTTACCTTTCGTCACATTGTAAGTCTGAAGGCACCCGTTTGCGTTTGCTGTACACTAGTGTCTCTTCATTATCTCCGGCCTATGGCGAATACGCTATCAGTCGTGCCGTCAATGCTAATGCAGACGCTCGAGGGGCCTTACTTGGACGTTCTCATTCGATCTTTTCAGCATTCCTGATTTGAATATGAACTGGAAGGGTGGTACTCTGACGCCGAATACCCAATCATGATACATCGATGACTTGGCAGGGCATCTATCCGAGCTGTACCAACACTACGTTGGACCTACACGAGCCGTACCCAATTTTCTTGACGTTGAAACTACACGTGTAGTCTACCTCAATTGCTAAATGCTGGTTCAGCATACACTTGACCATAGCTTGTCTACTCAATGATCAACAATGAATACAGTGGGCAATAATTTCACCGGGCGATAGGACAATGCGATACTCCGTCGGAAGTTGGCACATGCTTCTCAATCTCGGATCAAGCTGGGGTTGTAAGCGACGCGTAGTCTCCTACATTGTGTTGGAAGTCTGGTTGAGCCATCGTGTGGGAACCCCGCATTTCGACTGATTCCAAATCTGGTACAACGTCGAAATGGACCAATAACAAAGGAGCGCTGAGATACCTAAGAGTGTAGCCACAGTGTTGCGTCGATTCCAACGATCAGAATTCCTTTTCACATGCATTGGTCATTGAGGGAACAAAATCTGCCACTATCCCCATCGGATCTAAGTGCAACCACACGGACAATTTACATCGAATAGCCGTGGAACGGAGGCCAACGAAAGACAACTACGAAGCTCCACCTGGAAATGCGACAGTATGACGAGGTTGGATCGAATTATGCTTGACGTTCCACTGGAACAGTAGAGTGAATTACAAGACTTGCATAGTCAGGACTCGAACGTGGTGGGAGCACCAATTGATTTCGAATACTCTTCCCTTGTAGTAGAGCTGTCACAATTCGAACAAGCTCTTGTAAAACAGCAAGGATCCTTCAGCAAGTCTTGCTTGAGTAGTTTCGGTCTCAATGACATGGCTCAAGTATATGCTATACAACGGAAGAAACACCAGTGAGTCGTGACATATGGCACTAACAATATCTTTCCTCGCAGCAACATCTCCAAAGTGTCATCCTGTGCTGGTTCGAGTAATCCCTACAACGGGGGAAGAGAAGTTGGGCCTTTATCGGCGTACAGATCAAACACTGCTTAGTATCAACAAGTTACGATGTCATTTCAACACGACTCTCGATGTCATTCCAGAGATAAGACTAGTGAGAAACCCCGTAGGAATCGACTATATCAGAGTCAGCTCCTCCGGCCTTGGAGCTTCCTGCAATTACACTCTTCAACTCTCTCTCTTCCATCTCTACAACCTCACCTGTTCTACAGCTTCCAAGCTATGAAGCTCTCAGTTATTGCGCCAGCTCTGCTATGGGCCGCTGGCCTCGTATCGTCAACAGCAGACCACTCCGAAGCCCTCGTAAGCGCTCACTCTCACTTTATTCTGCAATCACCTCTTACTTTTGATGTACTTGCTATAACCCCTTGATCCTTCATTGTTTAGTGGTTATTGGTTTACAATATGCTACTCATTGTTACATGATCACTTGTCATTATTCTGCGTGTTCGCAATTACCAGTGTTTCTGCTTGTTACCTTGTTACATTAATTTGCTCCGTTGCTTTGTTGTATACAAAGTCTGATTGGACTGACACTTTCTCAGGTTGAACTTAAGGATGATTCAACGAATTGTTTGGCCGAAGATGCCTGGCCCTGCTATCGCAATTGCATTGCGAAGCAAATGGAGGACCTGTGGGACAAAGAACCCTAGGTACCGGAACGCAAAAAAGTTGACGCACAAGGTGCATGAATCCAAATGCAAGAAGGAATGCAAGAGGAATGCAAAGGAGGTAAGTAAACCCAGTGTCTCTATGAGCAGAACAATCTGACCTCTGCTCTTAGCAAGGGGACTGCGACGAGACCGACGGACATGAATTTGGAGGCGAAATGCCGCGCCTTTTCAAAGTCATCCAACGCCTCAAGCTCCAAGAAGAGGAGAGGATCAGAATGGGGGCGAGGCCGAGGCCGAGCAAGGAGGACGAGGAGGATGATGATGATGAGGAAGAGCACAGGTATGACGAGGAGAAGGGCAAGAAGCACAGATATGACGAGAAGAAGGGCAAGAAGCACGGGGACGACAAGAAGAAGGGCAAGAAGAAGGGCAAGAAGAAGGGCAAGGAGAGTGCTGATGACGAAGATGATGGCACAATTGATGAGTAGAGACGGTAGAGGATGGTTCCTCTACCTACTAGCTCATCATGCACCGCCGAGAAGCCCGTATCCAGCGCCAACTTCAGAACACTCATTGGGGCATTCCGGCAAATTGAGAGTCCATCCGAGTTTTATGCTATACTATAGAAAATCAACTGTCGCTTATCTATTGCGTTCTTTTCATACGACGTCCACGCCACTTATCATCATCCACACCGTACAATATTCCGTGAAGTATCTCAACTCCCCCTTTCCAAATTTGAAGCAAGCCTCTTTCCTATACAGTCTCAGCTACACTCTTGGTCTACCCGGTTGAGTGGTCCTCATAGGATCTCTCTCAGACCATGTATAATTGTGGAGACCACTCGGTATGGTACAGTAGCATTTTGTGCGAAAACTCTCCTCGCAACCACGGATGTCAATCGATCACGCGTCTGTTCGAAACTCGTGCTTGAGGCCATGACCAGTGATAATATTTTCGTGATTAAGAAGATCTTTACCACCTCATTCGTAGCCTTAGGTCCTTTGGGTGGTGTCAGAGATATTCCACGGAATTATGCTCGAGAGGTCTGACCGCCTTCAGTATCCATGGCTTTCGGTTGAGTTCTGGATTCCTGGTTTCTTCCGAGTGGCCCTAAGACCTTGTGACGTCCGGTTCCACACAGACTTACAGCCGTACGGAGGGGAGGAGTACCATATCTTCCAAAAAGGGATTTCAGGTAAATCGTAATTCTAAACCTAGGCGTAATCCCTTTTTATAGGCTTTATTTATACCTATGGATGTTTGTGAAGCTTCTTAGTTTTCTTCTCAATAATGTTAGAAGTATCTGGTATGTCTTCGATAGAAAAATGGGCAAGCTGAATCGTGCGGAGTCCCTGATTGCTGTGGCAACAGGAGTATGAATGGCTGATGGCAAAGAAAAAGCTAAAGGTCGAAGAAACAAGCAAAAATGAACGTGCCAGGGGTCGAACCTGGAATCTCTTGATTACCGAACGAATCGTAGTCAAGCGCCTTGCCATTGGGCCACACGTCCTGAGATGGTGAATGATGGTAATTTTTCAAAAATAGATACTATATATAGACATACAAATAGCCTTCTCGGTAGACTCATTCACGTCAAATCTGATCTTATCCATCGATTTTTCTTTTCTCAGCAAACTTACCCTATTCGGCAAACCGAAGCGTGGCTGTGGAACGCTGCCCAAGCCCCACCGAACTTTGCATCATTGCCCGTGTACAGGCAACAACACTCTACACACCGCAATGGCTTCCGCAACTTTACAGCCTTCCAGAACGCGATATTACTCTAACCAGCCGATTACCTGATCCTACCTCTGGTCACATACACAGTCTATGGGAAACTGCTTCAGTGCTAGCAACCGACACAAAACTCCTATCTCAACACCTACCCCCGAGCCTGAAGACGACATGTCTACCAACAGACCCGCTTCTACTTTCCCTGCGCATATCGCCCAATTCTCCTCAGAGAATCTTGTGCTCGGCGCTGGTGTAGCAATCTTCCACATCGCGAGCGCGCGAGTCGTCATCTGTAGGGCCGAAGAGCGCGGCCGACAGTACTACTTCTTACCCAAGGGGCGACGGGATGCGGGCGAGGAGAGTGGTAGAGGCGCCGAAAGAGAAGGCTATGAAGAGGTATACTTCTCACGTAGTGTCTTCGTTGTCACGATACTAATATTGATCATCATAGTCAGGCTACCGCAACCGTCTCCTCCCACTGCCAATCAAGCATCGCCAACCGCAGGCCCACCCTCGTGTAGAGAACCCGCCGATGTTCGCGGAGCCGGTTTGGATGCAATTCATGCCTATGCGACAAGGCACTATACAATACGTGCTCTACTGGTACATCGCCGAAACCCTACCACCCGACCTCGAAAAGGAGCTTGAGACTAAGGCTGGGGAGGCGTACAAACCTCCTCCGTCCTTTCCAACAGATTTGACACTGCGAGATAGAATGAAACAGGAGCCGGAGGGCTACGAGCCTGTGCATCATGAGGGTACAGGCGTGGACGAAGAAGAGCAAGAGTACGAGAGCTTTCTAGTACCGATTGAAGAGGCAGTCCTCAAACTGGGAACTAAGGGGGTAATGGCCGATGTGATTCTGAAAGGCTGGAAAGGCATTCAAGATCGGCTTGCTGTTGAGGCGTCGCTCTACTCAGAGGACTCTGCACAGCCACACTAGAAGGACGGCAGAGAGACGGTCTGCTGAAGTTGCTTCGACGCCAACACTATTCGTATCGTCTCCACGTAAGTCTCCAGGGCATCACTGTGCCGATCAAGGCTATTGGCCACGGAGAGGACCGTCTGACAATTGGTACTGGAAGGTTGTCGCAGATGGTACCAATCCCTAAATGGCCATCCTTTCTCGAGCTCATCAATGGTTGGCGAGGTCACCTGCCATACACAACTCAAATCCTCTGTGGCCAAGGTGTTCTATGACTGACTGTTGTGGAGCGCAATTTCCGATTTAGTCATTCAACTTCAGTCTCAGCTGGAGGATCCACAGTGTCATCACAATATACGATACACTCCATCACACGCCCACGATCTGTGACCATCCCTGTCAAGACAGCAAATATTGGCACCCAAACCTTGGATCGCTTCAGTATTCCAGATCATCTTGCAGCAGGTCACATCGAGATATGCTGTGGACAGGATGCTGGACAATAATCCAGTTGGGAGAGGGCCAAAGTCTAATCACTCTATGGCAATAACCCCCACGTCCCCCACACAATATCCACAACATTGCTCAACTCTACACCGTGCTACAATAATGGCGCTCCCCTCCACGCCGCACCAACCCGCACACCGAAAATCAGTTTCGTACTCTAAAGCGTTATGAGCACGGAGGCGATTGCAGCTGCATCGACGATGCTAAAACAGTCCTTCGGCTCTCCTCTCGCAATCATATTGCATCCTTCCCTGTCGCTTGTGCATGAACGGCCATACTCAACTTACAGCTACACGTGCCAGCTGGTCATCTATTTCCCCCACAGTTTTCATCTACCCATATTGACCCCGGAAACGCACGGCGCACTCGTTACCACACAGACCAACCAGCACATCCAGGTAGCTTTCATGTACTCCGGTAGTGGATTAAATACCCTTGTCCTGGCCCGTTGACTGGCGGCTTAGAAGACCCGCATGATCTAGCCTTTTTGGCAGAACTGGATAAAGCCGCCACCCCCAGATCCTCTCAACGTCGTACCACCAAATTGGCGTGCGACCGCTTGACAAATGCTCGACAAATTCTCCGAGGATACGCTTGGAGGCTCTGCATGTCGTTATTCACGTGAAAAGCGGGCAACTGGTTTACTTGAGAAGGCGGTATGTAGCCAGGCCCGTGCGCATGTCTCACTGCTCTTTACTGACCTGACAAATAGGGTATACGGTCCTATCGAGAATCGTTGCAGGAGCTGGGCGAACCATGACGACAAAATGAAAGCCATCACGACACCATCTCGACCAGCTCCTTCGATAACGGCCATCGTTAGGCGTCCACGGTTGTGGCCCGATCTTGTCCATCTCCCGCTTTAGACATTGCAGGGTTGCGCGCATAGCGCATGCACCCTCCGTCTCTGTACGACTTCTACTATAGTTTGCCTCCGTTATCATTGCATAAACTTGGAATCTTCTGGCCAGAAAAGGGCTACCCACGCATGCCGGATAGTTGGCCCACCACGGTGGAAGCTCCGAACATTGTTGATGAAGCCATTGACATGGGACGCCTGTAATTCAGATGCACTGCGAGCGTCGGGAAGAACGAACCAAGGTTCCGCCAAGTCGACAACACGAACAACGTTGAGGAAAATTCCAAGTTCTGGACTACCCGGTGGTAGAATAATGCTTGTTCGCATCAAGGAGGCGCTCAACATCTAGAAGCATGTCTTGGTCCTACCCAGCAGAATACCCGCGCGTTCTTGGTTGGCTGAGTCTCGATACCTCAGCTAGATCGCATCTTTGACCGACTTCCGAATGGAGCACGCAATACTGCGTCGCCAGACCGCTAGCCGCTCGGCTCTCCACATTCTAGGTCTTGCTATAGCGATTGTGTTATAGGTTCTGGCCAATGTCAACCGCGCTGGCGTTGGAGCGGTGATGACACCAAGTTCGGGAGCTGACATCGAAGTCAAGAGTTGAAGCAATCTTCTAGCTTGCAAATGCAGATACAAGGGTACATGCGGGCTGCCCGAAAGCAGCACGGTTGTCTGACAACTTGGGGGACAAACGTCAAAGTCACTCGGGCAGGTATCATCGTCAACCTAAACCGCGACGCAGAAACGAATCCAGCTGCTATCGGGTGTCACCGGTTCCTCCATCCGTATTCATGTTCTCGGCCGGCTCCAGACGAAACCAGCAATAGATGCTTGATGACACTATGCTGCGAATATGTGGTCCGCTTGTTTACATGCAACCCACCGTTCCGGTCGCCGGTTATGTCGAATGAACTTGCTATACCGTCATTCCACAAGCAGTATATTCCCTTATCAATGGATTACAAATGACAGTGTGATTTTTCCTATGATTAATCTTTCCGGAACGGACGCTGATCCGTGTTCCGAGGCAGCTGCTAGCTGCCTCGCTCATTACAAACAATTTTTTCTGAACAATCCATTGCCAACCGACTTGAAATCAGGAGACTCGGCATGGTGTGAACCATGCGCAAGTAACCTTCGTACAACGGCAGCTCCTTCTTCTTCGATATGCATCAAGCATACCAAATTCGTACATCCACATCCAGATAGACTAGTAAAAACCGCGGTAGACTATCCAAGGAAAACACCGCAAGTTTCGCGTAGTCACCATATGCCTCCATCCCCATCTATCCGCCAAGTCTCACGATACCCATGAAACACAATGCAGTTGGAAGAATTCATACCCAGCCTGTCCCATTGGCCAGTACAATCTAACGTTCCAATACTCCAACACTTTCACCGACGTAACTAGGACGCGCAAGCAAACCCGCACGAACAAGTAGCGTGAAACGCAGCTGCATCTATGTGCCCGATTCTCTAGTAGACTCAACTCCACCACCTAGACTACTGGGTAGGTTGTAACGGCTTAGTCTAGCTTATCGGGATCTTGATAAGCAGATCAGAAGGGTGGATAGCGTATCGAGAGGAAACTGGAAAGGGTGGGCCGACCGGGTGTTTCTTTACGCGCCGCACCGCGATGACGATGCTGGGACGGAAGTCGAAACTTTGAGATCTCTGGCTAAGATGGTGTTGTTTTGACTTGGCGGGGCTTGTGGGTACCTCGTAGACAGAGCACTAAGTAGAGTTCGGCACTTACCTGAGCCATTGTTCGGAAGGTTTTGCGGTACGGTATTAGGTGGTAGCGGTTTAGACAGCGTATTGCGGATAGGAAGTTCGACACAAGTAGCAATGACACATGATGATATAAAGAATGACGATGATAATGATGTTGACATTGATAGCCAAACAATTCATTGCACGTAGCCGTAGTATACTTGCGCGCCCATCTAATCACCTTCCACGAGCCACCGCGGCAACAGACGGCCCCCAGCTTTTGCGTCATGCACTGCACTACACTACACTCGACTCAAACCCCTTTCCACGCCGCGACCATCAGGCCAATATCCATCCCAAACAGAGAGTGTGCCACACCATGATCTCGCAGGAGCAGTGGTGTTGTGCAAAAGGAAGGTACTGAAGATATACAAAGAAGCGAACACGAAATGAAAACACAACCGCAGATAGATCGTAGACTGTAGATCTAGCGATCAGACGATATATCGAGCGATCAACCCCATTAGGCAGACAATGTATGGCGCAAATGTTCAGAGATGGCAAGGGTATATTCCGACGAGTTGGCGGGTCGACGACGAGGAATGCGAATAGGCGATTTGTTTACCACGAGAAGGATTCCTCGCGGAAGTCCACATTCCACGAATCCTCGCGATTGCGCACCGCGCGCCTCAAGTCGTCCGCCAAGCTGCCGGTACCACAGACACTAACGCACGCCGCGCCGATGCCCTCTTGCATCTCCTGGTCA